TGATGTTTCTGTAATTGGAATCACACAATAGGGGCCTTTGTGTCTGTCCCCCTATTTTCTAAGGGGACTCCTTTACTTCTGTGTTCATTTGTTATAAAATTTCCATTATTTGATATCGAAATCCACGATGGATTACACATCAGATGTAATCAAAGAGGACACTTTAGGAATTATGGGCACAATTTCGGGCCGAGATCCCTGGTCCTGCTGGGACACCACAGCCTGACCCCAGACAGGACAGGGTTGGTTCCTCCTGAGACCCACACAGAAACCATGGAAATGCAGAAAGCTGGAAGACACACCACAAAGGGCAAAAGCATTGCTCACAACCCAAGGCCAGAAAAATATTTCAGCTGACTCTGGTCCAAACCACGCTCCCAGTCACTGGGTTCCACAGGGATGGAGAGAAAAACATGCAAGTCCAAGGCGGAAGGATAGGCACGCAGGGAATATGTGTCAGAGAAGCGGGAGCTCCTGGGGAAGGAGTCTGGCAAAGGAAACACTTTGGAGGGAGCGCTCGTCACCCTCAGACTGGCAGGTGTCTGGTCTGGGGACCAGCAGCCCTGGGGAGAACGTGAGAAAGTAGAGGTCCCCTGGAATGAACGGTGACAGTCACCCCTGTCTGGGAGAACAGTGAGCAGCACCCATCCCAGGCCAGAGGAGCACCCATCCTCAGCCTCGGACTCAGCCCCAGAAACTCTGGCTCGGTTTTTCAAACTTGTATTGTCAAGAGTGCTCATCACAGTGGTGGTGGAGAGAGCAGGGAATGGAACAACACTAACGCCCAAGGGGATGGATGGGATCCATGGTCCCAGTCCTCATGATAGAATGCCCTGCAGCTACTGTCCCAGTGTCTCCTGGGCCCAGGATCTGGGAAGCCCCTCCTGAGACCCACCCCTCCTGCCACCCTGCCCCTGGGAACATTGAGAATTGTTTGAGGAGGAGGGGAGAGGATCCAGGATGACAGCGGGTCCAAGGAAAAGGAAGGTCAGCACAGGGAGGACGTGCCCTGAGCCAACATACAGGGCCCGGGCGGGCTGTGAGGCCCTCGGACCTCACCCCAAATAAGGACTCCTGATTTATGGACCCAGCTTCTGTGTATTTACTCCCTCCCTCATTCATTCTCTCCCTCATTCATTCCCCACCACCAACCGTCCCTCCCCCTCCCTTCCTCCCTACAACCCTCCCTCATTCAGCAGAGGATCTATGGTCCCTGCTGTGTACTGAGCACTGGGGCTTCATCAGTGAGCATCCCCCAACCCACATGGTCATGTCCTCTGTGGGAGGTGACAGGGGAAGTCTTCAATTTTAGCAGTGGTGATGAGCACCAGGAATCGGCTCCTGAAAACAGAGGCCAGTTGCACAACACAAAGAATGGAAGACCCATGCTTAGCACTTCCTCTAGAAAAATCTAGTCCTGAAAAGTAAGTATATCCTAGACTTCATACAATGTGAGTTCTACTGGCAGGTACCTACTGATTCCTAAAACCAACAAAGAGTAAATCATCCAGTGTTGACTGGGGTGTTGTGACCCAAATTTTCAGACCAAATGACAGCATTTCAACCAATAGCTCCAGGGCCTCTGAGTTTTCCTAAGGGTCTCTGTGATTCCCTGATCCTTCCATCAACCTCCTTGGGAAGCTCTGTTCTGTCATCTTCCTTGTCTCCTGCCTCTTCTGGGACCCTTCCATGACCTCCCCGCCAGGGCCATCCCCTCCAAGACTGCCTGTGCTCCCTGGCCTAAAACCCACATCCTACGCTGGGTGCTGTGAGCCCGGTGCTTTTTGCAAGGACTGTGTGCTCCTTCTGGGGTCACTAGCCATCTCCCTTGCAGTGGCCTGCCTCTTCCTGCCCTGGGTCTCCTCTGAGCAGTCTGTGAGGCCGGACTGTGCCCATGTCACAGGCATGGAAGCGAGAGTCCAGATGGTCCAGACGACCTGCTCCCAGTCCCAGCGTGTGGAGTCCGGGTCAAGGATGGTCTGCGAACAGAGGAAGACTTGGGCCCAGGGAGACTGAGGGAGGATGTGGCACAATGAGCCTGCAGGAGGAGAGGGAGCACTGTGGGGACCTGACGCTCAGGCCTGCTGGGAGACCACATCTCACCCACACCAGCTCTGTCCCCAGGGCTGGAGGTTGTCAGGGTAGCCACCCTCCAAGGCTGCAGGCTGACAGTGACTGACAGTAGAAGAGGTGCACCTGAGGCAAGAGAGAACAGTCAGTCAGAGAGGAGGGGGCAGGTACTCCCCAGCAGCTAGAGGAACTCGGGGTAGCCACCCTCCCAGGCTGCAGGATGGCAATGGCTGGCAGGAGAGGAGGCACCTGGTGCAGGAGAGAGCCCTCAGGCAGAGAGGAAGGGGCATGCTCTCCGCAGCAGCAGGTGCACGGGGGTAGGCCTAGGGGGCCTCTGGACAGCGGTGCCTGCAGCTGGATTCTCCACACAGACCCCCTCCTCAGGCTCAGCACAAGCTTGTCTGGATGGCCTTTGTCCCCCAAATACAAAGACTGGCCCAGGACCCTCCTCAAGCCCCGACTCCCAATCCTTTGACCTTGGTTCAAGTGACAAAAAATGGCCAAAAGTTGAGGTGGGGTTGGGTGCACAGGGACATTTGCTTCTCTGGCCCATGCTGTATGTAACATTACTGGCATTTAAAGATCTCAGGGCTTTGATTCAAAAACAGTAGGATACCGGGGACCCGTGTCGGCTTTCTGGAAACCTCCCTCTGGGCCTTGCAGCCCTCCCACCCCACCAATTCTTCTGAGAATCCCTCCAGGTCACAGACCCACATTCTTGGCTCCTCAGATGGCCCGGAAAATGCACCTTCAAAAAGCGATCCCACTGGGGCAGCACGAAACACTGCGGATTCCAGCAAATCTGCCTCCCAGAAACTGAGGGTACTGCTGGATGAGCTGTCTGAAAACAGCCATGTTAGGGTTCCAGGAAGATACCAGAGGCAAAGGAGTAACTGAGGAGCACCTGAAGGTCAGGTATGGACAGTCAGAGGTTCCAGACACTTCTTCCCTAAAGCTCCTCATTCCTCAGCCTTTCTTCGGGTGATTCTGCTTGGTTTCTATTTGCCCCAACTGTTATCCATTGCCTTAAGCAGCAGAGACTCACGTATGCCTTTAAATGTTTTGGAAATTGAATGTACTCCAGTAGCCACTTCACTGCTGGGAGAGTTGTAGGATAGCAAGAAGTCCCAGAGGACTCCAAGGGTCTGGACTTGGTGTTTCCCTCTCCTGAAATGGGGACACCTGTGGGAGGTGCAGGTGGTCAGGTGGGGGAGGAGGGCAGGCACCTGACGTGGACAAATGGGGGTAGGTGAGGCCCGAGGCCCCTGGGGTATGTGCCAGGCATCGAGACTGAACAGGTCTTCAAAGCTGCAGACTGGCTGGGATCATCTTCAGGCTGAGGAGGAAGGTGAGGGGAGCAGAGGGGACTGAGGAGGTTTGGCTTAGACAGAAGAGGGCTGAGCCACAGCTTTGGTGCGAAAGTGGGTCAGGTTCAGGCTCACAGGGACAGACCTTGAGGCCATTATGCCATGTGAAATAAGCCAGTCCTGAAAAGACCGACACCGGAGGACCCCGCTTGTTGGGGATGGAGAGCACTCCCATTCACAGAGGTGGAAGGAGCTGCTGGGTGCCGGGCCTGGGGAAGGGGAATGGGGGGTTAGGATCTCGTGGTTAGAGGTTCAGTTTGGGTTGATGAACACATTGTGGCGAGGGATGGAGGTAGCCAGTACAGAACAGGAAATATACTTATTGCCACTGAAACATGCTTCATGGTATCAGCTGTATATCCATTATACCACAATACAAAAGAAGTGAGTCAGGGAGTCGGAGTCATCGCGAGTACCTAGAGGGCCCAGGAGCAGGGAGCCTGTATCTTAGTTCTCGCTCGCATGCTCTGCCCCTTGTTGGGTGACTGAGCTCAGTAAGTGCTTGCTAAGGCACAGTGCAGGGAGCTGGTCCAGAGAAAGTGCACAAGTGCAAACCCACTGGTGGGCACTGATGAATCCCAATGGGACACGCATCCAGACAGAGCGAGTGCCCACATTTCACAAACACCAGCACAGAAATAGCCATTTAAAACCAAGGCAGGAACCTTATATAGCCCAGAGGGCTCCACGCTCCTAGAGGCCAAGCTAGTGGCCACGGCCAAGGCTTCTGGTGGTGAGGGCACTGGGGGTCTGGGAGGTGGCTCAGCGCACCCCTGACCCTGAAGCCCCATGCCCGCGGTGAGGTGTAAAGACTGGGAGGGAAGACCCGGCCAGCACCCATTCTGGCTCCATGGGGGCTACAGGGCTGCTCCCAGCCCCAAAGGAGATGTCTGTTGAGAACCACAGAGAACATCTTTTCCCTCAATTGTTCTTTTTAAGATGGTTGCTCAGCATTGACACAGACAAACATCCGACATAAAACTGGAGCCGTTCACAGCTGCAAAGGACCTGGAAGTGATAAAAATGTAGTGACCACAAAGAGAGGAACTTGTGTCCCCAGGCAGGCCTCCTGTGCGCAGGGCTTGTTGGGGCACTGGCGTACCCGTGCAAGCAGTGCTGCGCTCCACAGTTTCCCTCAAGGGGACAGAAGTAGGAATCTGCTCTGACCACTCTGCTCAAGGCAGCACCCCCTGATGGAGACGGGGCAGCCCCTCATGAGTTCCAGATGTCCTGGTGATACTTGGGCACAGGCACAAATCTCCGCTTCTTCATGACCAGGGAATGATGGGGGACCAACCCAGCAGCCTCGGGTCCCGCAGGTCCTCCAGTGTCCAGCCCAGCAGTCGTGGGTCCTGCATGGTCTCTGGGGGCAGCCCCTCATGAGTTCTGTTTGTCCTGGTGATTCTTGGGCTTGGCCTGAATCTCAGCTTCTTCATGACAGGGGCAGTCTATCAGCTGCAGGTCCCACAGGTCCTTCAGGGGACAACCCAATACCGCAGGTCACACAGCTCCTCCGAGGACAGGCCCTCATGAGTTCTGGGTGTCCTGGTGAATCTTGGGCACAGCCATGGATCTCAGCTTCCTCATGACCCTGGGAATGATGTGGGGGCCAGCCCAGCAGCCGTGGGTCCCGCAGGTCCTCCGGGGACAGCAGCTTGGTGGCCCTGTGGCCCAGCAGGTACCTGTTCAGGTGGCTCTTATTGGGCCACATGGCCTCAATCACATTGGCCCAGTTGACCCCCATCACCTGGTGACAGGCCAAGGTCAGTTGGGGAAACTCCACCACCAATTCCCCAATAAAGGCCCCCATGTAGTATAAGTTGCCCTGGTCCCTGGGGATGTCGGTCTGGGACTGTGGCCAGTGCTCGTAGCTAAAGTCCTCAGGGGCTGCCCAGTAGAAACCGAGCTGTGGGGTGCCAAAGAGGGGGGACAGGATCTCCATGCCCACATGGTCCCAGAACTTCATTCCCTA